AATGAAAATACACAAACATGTCCAACATCACTACCACAAGCAATCCTATAGCCACATTAATCTGTGAATAGCAAACACTAAAGAAAGAAAGCCATTCATGTTTTAGACCAGCATGTGAAATAAACTAGCCAGAATGTGAAATATACAAGCATGTCCAACTTCACTACCACAATCAAACCCTAGCCACATTAATCTGTGAATAGCAAACAATTTAGAAAGAAAGCTATTAAATCTTGTGGAACAGCATGTGAAATATACAAGCCAGAATGTGAAATAAACAAGTATGTCCAACATCACTACTACAAACAAACCCTAGCCACAAGCAACAAGTGATGTCAGTAGGCAAATGAAACCGATCTGAACATCATCCTGAGTGAAATATACAACCTTTACAACAAACAAGTGAAATATACGACACAGATCCACAGCCATGAAATGTACATGTGTTACTTACGTCTCTCCGTCCATCATCCCTTGTGAATCACATACCACTGCAGTACTCCACACACAAAACTGATTCACAAATACTCCTAGAACGGGAGCCACAAATTCTGGCAACAATCGTAAAATCCAAGTGACTGGAATGGAGAGAATACCAGAGTCATCACACGATTACTTACACATCGAGGGTGCACATTCACGACTGATCACCCACTCAGTGAAATGAACGCTGCTGTGTGTATGTGAGTATGAAAGTGACATAAGGCTGCAGTACTAGGCTGCTGCCGTGACTGGGATAGATAGGCCAGTGTTGGCTGGTGTCAGTTGACTCACAGCCTCTCCTCACTGGGGATTAAAGCCCTGTAACATTGTGTAACACTGGCTATCTACATGATGCAGGCTGCCCTAACTTTGGGATAATGAGGGATGCACAATGTCCAAGTCTGGCCACATGGCCACTTGATGGGCAGCCCTGATATTGACATGTGTTGTAACTTTCATCACATGGCCTTCAAGCCCTTTCAATCAATGAATATCCTTCACAACTGGCTAAAATTCATCCTTTAAAATATTTGTTTCTTTTTGTGAAGATACAAAATTGATAAGACATATTTTGATTATTCGAAGGTACAATTTAGTTGATATAAGTGTATACCTTTTGTAAGCAATTTTATCGAAGCCTGTTCAAAATACATAAAATAAGATTAAGATTGAATACACTATGCCATTTAGAAAGTAGTCAAATGTAACATATGTTATATTTGAGATTATACTTTCTCAGTAAAGTTGAAACCAGGGTAGCTGAGTGGGTTAGGCAGCTGACTTTGTGTGCTGGTGATTAGGTGCCTGACTCTGAGGGTGTGGGTTCGTTTCTCGGATGGGACTCAACCCAACAAAAGTACTATAATCTGTACTTTACTGAAAAAGTGTAATCCCAAATATAACATATGTTACAAGATTAAGATTCATTCCTTCATCCAGAAATAATTTCAAATAATTCCTTACAAAAATCCATCAGGAACAAAAATCCTTTTAAAAACACCTTTTTCATGATAGTAAAAAGGAAAACGTCTTCAAATTCAAGTGTGAATGTGTTCCTGCATGGACAAGGACATATGTGAGTCCAGAGTCCACCTATAACACCTTCAGCCTCACTGGAAGCACATACACAATTGTTTCTTCTCTGCTTTTACTATCTATACAGACAGAAACTGACGTGATTACAGTCAAAACCATTCAAGCATACCTTCACAACGGCCCAGTCAAATTGAATCCCTAATCATGAGTCCCTGGACTGCTAAATACAGAGTTAGTCCATCGAAGCCAGGATCCACAACGCAATAGACAAGACATGAGCGTGAAATCAACGTGAAATATTTGCTGGAGCGCTTCATCATGTTTGACACCTAGTTGGGTGACTTGTCATTACTAATTACAGGTGAAGAGCTCAGGTGTTTCCAGGTTAAACAAAAAATCAACCAAGCTTAAAATTTCACAGTCATATGTTAATCAGTTGTAAGTATGCTTGAAATAGACGCTGTTGGAGCCCGCAGTGGAACAATGTCCATTTCATCAGGTGAGTGTCGGCTGTCAGTTGACACCTAAATCTGGATGGATTCTCGGCTGTAATGAAAGAAAGTTCCCCACAGCCAACTCACACAGACTGTGAACTAACACGGGCTTTCCATCCGCAAAGAATTGGAGGTATTTGGAAGCAAGTTAACCGAGGAAAATACCTTGTTGATACAGGTAAAGAACAGCTTAGGACCGTTTGAAGACACAAGAAAACGTTCAGTAGGATCAACAACAGACTGCTATCCAAAGTCATTTTCACAATGACTATTGGAATATTAGATCTACCCTATTCTATAATATAGAACCTATGACAAATGAATCCTATTTATCAATAACTTTGTGATGCAAAATAAACGTTAAACTTGCAGTGCAATTCCATTCTATTGTCCAGATCGGTAGAATTCAAAATTATGTTTTGATTATACGGTACTTTCAATTTTCAATGTGAAAACATTTTGCCCTACTGGATCAGTGATGTGGAGACCCCCCTCAGATACTAAAGATCCCTCACTCAACTGTCGGAACCAGTGATAACAAATTGATATGGTTTATGCCTCATAAGGGTTTTTATCCCCTTTATTGGCCCCATCTGGAGAATATCGGAGTGGACTATCAGCAGGCTGAAACATTAAGATCCGGTCAGATGGGCTGACTAATTTGATAGCCTTCAGATTCAGTTCGGGTCAGGTGGGAACTGCCAATAATCAAACTACCAGTTTGGAGATTGTCATGGAGTTTATAAGTGAGCTTGTCACAAATACATTTGTTATTTGAAACCATGTCTGTTCTAAAGTACTAACAGTACTCCCAGTACTGTCTCAACATACAGTATTGTATTAACATTCAAATGGACTCAGTTGTAATATGATCTGAGGTTTTGCTCCTTGTCAACATGATGTGGAAGATGAATATCGTGTTACAATGTTTTGTCCTCAGTATGAATTGATTAAAAACAGTATTCACCAACAATTATATACACGTGTCCCAATCAAATTTTATGTGGACACATGCATATCCACATGTTTTGTTTAAAATATGAAACCGGTATAATGTGTACCAGTATATCACATTAAAAGAACATAAAAATTTAGAATTTGCCAGTTTTATTATTCTCAGTGTACAAATCCTCACTATCTACGCATTGCAAATTTGTGTATTATCCTGGTTGTCTTGTGACCTATGAAATAATTAAATAAAATGTAACCAAGAACCTCAATACTGGAAAATGATGTTCAGCAGGGGCGGAAATAACCCATTGCCCGACGCCCGAGTCCAGTGTTTTTTTCTGTCGGGCAAGCAAATTTGTATATCACACTGTACCAGTGTCCAGTTTACTTTCCAGTGTTAATTATGTTGTTTATTTAAAAAAATCAACAAGAAAATCTGCCAGTATAGTGGAAAAATTATCAGGGCAAGTGATTTTACTTGTGCCACTGTACCGGAGTACACTAGCAATTTTAAAGTTCAGAGTTAATATAGAGTTCATATTGAAATCAGACATCATGCAATCATCATATGGACCAAAAAACCCAGTGACATTTGAGAGACTACATAATCAGATGATATCATTCGGAGGAACCAGTGTGCCAATGATATCATTTTACAGGTTGGTTCAGTACATCCAGTGTCATTCGACCTCCACGTTTACATCAGCTCCACCACTGTGTTTTACATCATCGGTCTAACTAAATGATATCACGTGATAGATGGAAGACAAGTGACAGTGGATGAAATATGGTTTGGGATAGTTCCAGTTTGTCCTGATAAAGTAGTGTCCTCTATCATTTTCAGACCAAAGCCAAATACTTGAGTTCCATGAATAGCATATCTGTGTAGCTTGTGAACAGTTTGCAGGAATGCTGCTTTTCACCTTCCCCTCAAATCCATGGCTCTGGCATCTGTGTAAACCTCATACAGACATCTCTAGCAGCACTGATGGACAAAGTGTATTTGTTGGAACACATTATCGGTTATAATTGTACTTCATGTGATCTAAATGACAACCATCCGTTGCCATGTTCCATCTTTTCAGGCACTAACACACGCTGAGAATGCAAAAAGTTGGATCAGCTAAACATTTGTCTCAAGCAGCTGAAAATGAGATCCCATTTGTGCATTGATCTCAGATTAGCAAAATATTGCCGCCAATGAAAACTGTTTCCAACACCAACCAAAAATATTTATGAAATAATTTCCTAAAAAAAAAGAAGAAAAATTGAAAATAATATTATCATAAAATAACAATAATCATTTTAAGTAATATGCATATTTCCATATCATTCACTATTCCATCTACACCAGTTCTCACTTCAAACTATTATCCTCCAATCACTAAACAAAGAGTGAGTAAGTCTAGATTTATGCCGCTTTTAGCAATATTTTTGCTTTATCATGGCTGAGAACACATCACAGGCATCACACATTGAACCCATGTGAGGAATCAAACCCAGGTCTTCAGTATGATGAAAGAACACTTTGACCACAAGGCTACCCAACCACCCTCGCTAAACAAAGAACAATAGAAATGATCTTCAAAAAGGCAATCAAAATGTAAAAAAAGAAAAAAAATGGAAAACAGAAGTTGAAACAAAAAACATTTCAGCAAACAATATGAGATGAAACGGAAACAATGGGGTATTCTCGCAACAACACCGAAGACCATTTTTTTCTCATCTGGCATCAAAGACTGTTTACATAAGTCACACATGTACAAGTATCACAGACTCAAGCACAATTATTTCCAGTTCCATCCAGGAACCAGATTATCTGGCAGAAACAGGTCTCTTTCATGTCAAAGGAAACCGAGGTATATTTCTGGTGTATCTCAAACTCAGCTGATCACATCTTTGACAGCCCAAGTTGTAACACAGACCAGCACGACTTTGTTCGATATCCTGGCAGTTGTACGAAATACAGGAAGTGTTTCATGCGATGAAGAACAACATTAGAAGTAAACGCAGCATGTTTCCTCCCTGGATTACAAGTGATATTGCCATTAATGTTATTGCTTGGGAATCGCTATGAGCGTACAAGACTATAATCAATTGCATGTGCCTTGCTGTGTTAGGAAAGAAGCTGCTGTTAGATGGCCAGGCGATACAGCGTTTATAGCATGTCTATTATTGTAAGTGGCAGAGGGTGATTGGTGTGGTGTAAACAGATTAAGTCCTGGGGAGACAATGGCGAAAGTTAGATTTTCCCACTTTGTTGTTTCAAATTGATGATACTAATTAATTCATTAATCAAGCTTTAACAATAAAATTATTACTTTTGGTAACATGGTTCACACAACATCTTTGTGAAAATTGTAACTATAGGCTTTGTGATGAGACCCGTGAAGATCCAGGTTAGAACTGATCTTCAGCAACCCATGCATGTTGTAAGAAGTGACTAACAGGATCGGTGGTCATGCTTGCTGACTTGGTTGACACATGCCATCGTATCCCAATTGCATAGATCGATGCTCATGATGTTGATCACTGGATTGTCTAGTCCAAACTCGATTATTTAGCTTGAATATTGCTGAGTGCAGCGTTAAACAACGAACCAACCAGCCTTGTGATGACTGAAAGCATGTTCAAGTACATTTGTCCCACACACAGTCCTAGTAAAGGGAGACAACTATGAAGAGAGATCTGCCATGCCTAAACCAAGGATCTGTCACCTCCAAATTGAACACAACAACACTGTACATAACATGACAGAATGCAATTGGATACCTTATGTCTGAATAAGAGTTGGCACATATAAACCATAGTTGACCAGCATCAAACCAGTCCGTGTGGGTATGACGTTACACTAGGTCACCAGGACACACATGGCTACACTGACACTGCATCAGAAGGAGATGCAGTGGAGATGTGCATCCATGACCTTAATGAACAGTGTGAGTGAGTTGCTTTGACCCATATTCCAGCAATAACAAGGCAGTGGGATTCACACATTGTGTACCCATGCTGGGCATCAAACCTGGGTCTTTGGTGTGAGGCGCCAATGCTTTAACCACCCATAACAGAAAGTCAGGAGGTTTTGTATGACAGACATAACATTTGATCATAGAAAACATGTCATGGACATAGCAAAACATAAACATAATCAATAACTTTTCTTTGCATTCAACTTGGGAAAGCATCTGATATGCTCATAAATATTCATTAAACCTAATATGTAATTAACGGGACATCCATTTGGCTGTGAGCTAGTAAACCTTACAGACAACAGATGAGCACCACTAAGCTAAGAGATCAGACAATAGATAGGTGCCAGTAAGCCAGAAGATCAGACAATAGATGGGTGCCAGTAAGCTTGAAGATCAGACAATAGATGGATACCAATAAACCAGTAAATAAGACAATAGATTGGTACCAGTAAGCTAGGAGATCAGACAATGGATGGGTACCAGTAAGCCAGTAGATCAAACAATAGAAGGGTACCAGTAAGCCACTAGATCAGACCATAAATAGGTACCAGTAAGCTTGGAGATTAGACAAGAGATGGGTACCAGTAAGCCACTAGATCAGGCAATAGATGAGTACCAGAAAGCCAGTAGATCAGACAATAGATGGGTACCAGTAAGCTAGGAGATCAGACAATGGACGGGTACCAGTAAACCAGTAGAGCAGACAACAGATGGGTACCAGTAAACCAGTAGATCAGACAATAGATGGTTACCAGTAAGCCAGTAAATCAGACAATAAATGTATACAGTAAGCTAAAAGACGAGACAAATTGGTACTAGGCTCAATAGAGCCGTGATATCTGATCTGTTACCAGTACCTATCACAGCGTTGCTATAAGGAACTCTAATGGCTGGAATATCTTCTTATAGTCATTACATCAAGATGTGACATACATCCATGACCTACATCTATACTGATATTGACACTGATAATATTGCACCATTTAAATTATATTGGCGTCTTACTTCAAAGAATTCAGTTAAGTTATACTTACAGTTAAACATATAAATTCCATCTGCAATCCAGGCTTTTCAACCTTCATTCCACTCAAGTAAACACACTGTATATGCCCGCAATGTACATTTCACATGTGCCTGTCATCCATGATACCCATCCATCAAACAGGGACCCCCCACCCCAGCTGACATGTGGGTCAATGGGCCCTGTGTCTACCCCCAGGCCTGTTGGTGACATCATGCAGGTACTTCCTCACTAGGTATCACCACCATGTACATTTCATACATAGCTGAAATTGACTCGAAATTGACACGAAATTGACGAACCCTTTACTGGGTCACCTGTTTGTCAGATACAAGATATTTATAAGTGTTTTTATTACACAGGCACAATACAGGTGTGGGTATTAATGACATCTACATCTGCTGATGGGGAGGAGATGTGGAGTGTGCTGTGATTGATGAGGAGACAACAACCTACAATACATTTAGTACATTCATATACGTCAAGTCGACAATGAAGGGCTTCTATGTAGTATCATGGCTTGCTGGTAATAACAAAGACATAAAGAAGCACTCAGTGGTCGAAAACATGCTGAGAGTTACTTCAAAATTATCTGACCTAAATACTAAAGAACTTGTTGACAAAAACGTATTTACCAGTTACAAAAAAAGTATTTTTTACAGCAAACTGATAAAATGAGGAAAGAAAACATATCAAAACACGTCTGTGATGATTGACATATACAAAACTTGATAAGGAAATATTTAGGCTGCTGCTACAATTTTCTAAACCTACAACAGTTTGTGTATGGGAGTGTTCAAACAACGCAATCTAAGCTGACCTGAAGTGGTTTTCATTTGCAGAACGAATTTTCAAAAATGCCCTCCTAGGAAGCTGTGTGGGTTCTTAATGAAATCGGTCATGCAGGTGTTTTTTGGGGTTGAATCAGGAATAAAAAGTGGGTCGTCAACAGAGCAAAGAGTAAGAGTGTTCAACAAATCAGATGTTTTATTGCTGTAGAAGATGATTTTTATTTATATGCCACATGTTGTACAACATAAAAAAATACTACATTTTCAGGTGGGTATATGTAATGCCAAGCTAATATCCTCTATGTGACTAAGACCTGTGAAGATCCGCATCTTCAAAAACCTATGCTTGTTATATAAAGCAACTGACATGAGAAGGTGGTCAGGCTCCCCGACTTGGTTAATGCATGCCACCATATCACAGTTGTGTTCATCAATGCTCATGATATTAATCACAGGATTTTCTGGTCCCGACTCAATTACATCGATAGAATGTTACGGCACAATTCATGCACGTTCATCATCTTGACCATCCTTCAAGACAAAAGTACCGGTATTTATTTTGGACATTGTAAGCTTTTCATGATTGTTCCATTAATCTTCATTCCTTTCCTTTGGTCTTGAAGGGTGATTTAGGTTATGAATATGCATAAATTTGGATAACAAGTCCTTTTGATTAAGTTCAAAGGTTGGAAACAATATCCACAAGTAAAAAATGTAAAAATGTTTAAAAAATTATTGATGATCAGAATTAGCTGAGGATGAGGACCAACCTTGGGTGATCCATATTTCAGGAGAGATAATGAAGGTGATGGATTCAGAGGAAGAGATACATAGAGATTGTTGTAGGAGCATGAGTCTCATACTGATTTAACATGAGCGGCTCTAAGGGGCACATAGAACCTGTTTCTGTTGTATCATGACATATGATCTTAAAGTTTTTTTGAGTAATATAAAATTATTCCAATTTTGATTTATCAACTGTTTTATCTTGAAGACTGGAGAGACTGGAGATTCAGTCAGAACCTGAGGAAATCTAGACTTGCTTCATTCTGGGCTTTAGCATTGCAGGGAGGGATGGGCGAAAGGAAAATAATGTGGTTCAGGGACTGTGAGACAGATGAAGTGTTCTACTGTCAAGGAAATATTCCATTTGGCAGTACATGGACATATGACGTAGGCCACAATACAAACCCTAATCAACATAGAGGATATGACATCGGTGTGCTATGTCCAGCTGCTGTACATCCTGTGTACTGACTCCACACACATGTATACTGCCCCAGGAGCTTGTACATTGCACATACATCACCTTCTGATTGACAGGTACTGATAAGGAAAGGCTAAAGCTATTGGGTGGCTTCTTTTTTAGCATTATGACATCAGCAGTCTGAATGTTTCATATTTCGACGTAATGTCAGGAATGTAAAGAGCAGAGCAATTTTAAAGATTGGTTTGTTGATAAAATGTTTGTTTAAATGCCAAACGTACACATTTATAGATAGACGTCATGCAGCAACTGGATTTTGCTTATAAGTCCTCCTATTTGTTTTTATACAAATTGTATGGCATTTAGAAATTACGAAAGAATTTCAGATTCTGATCAGACCACCTGCAGCAACCATGTTCTTTAACAAGTTCACTTCAACAAAAAGAACTGTATTTTCTTTTCGTGAATTACGCTGTGACTGAAAAGGCATTGAGATGAATCTCAGTGTAAAGAGGCACATACGGATGTCAGTGTTAAAGGTATAGCATCCAACTCAAGGGATCCTTATCATCATCTTTATTCCTCTAGATTCATAAACTTCAGCAGGAAAAAATCAGGAAAACCCTTACTAATAACCCTTTCTAACACTGTTGTCTAAGAGTCTGTTCTGTTTTCAACCTGTTTAAAGAATGAGGTGGCCACAATGGCTGCCAAGAGCTTCCACGTGTTATAATGACACACAATAAAACATCCGACCACTCCCAGCTGATGATGATCAATGTACAAGTCATCCTCATTGACCAATAATCATGGAGGATACAGAAGGGGTGTAGAGGGGGGTAAGTCAGTGAGTTGAGTTTTTTGCTACTTTTAGCAATATTCCAGCAATATCATGTCAGGGGACACCAGGAATGGTCTTTACACATTGTACCCATGTGGGGACTTTGGCATGATCAGCGAACACTTTAATTACTAGGCTACCCCACCACCCCATGAGGGGGATGAAGAGGGTTGCACCCTTATGAACACCTCGCACATCAACAGAGCAAATGCTTTCCTCCATTTCATGACGTGTGTGCAAAATCCTGAATCGACGTCTGCTCATCATAGTAAGCTTTCCCTTCAAGCAGCGGTAAATTGAGACCTATTCTTGTTCAGAATCCCACAGGCTTGTTCACTCAAAGAATAAATGATCTATATCTTACATCAAGCTGCTCCACAACAGCCTAGATTAAGCAGCACAATATTCCCATTGACACATCATTCAACTCACCAATTCCACATCCAGAAATCCCTCACCATCAATGTATCCACAATCCACTCCCTGAAGCAACCATCTCAGGCCCATAAACATCAATCTCAATGATAGTCAGTTTTCACACATGTAGTATTATACAGCAGTGATTAAATTCATAACAAGTTTTCACACGAGTAGCATATCTGCGGTTGCAGAGTGTATCTGAGACGCCTTTGACAGAGATGTGCTACCGTGGGAGGTGGTTATGAAACTGATGGGTTCTATCAGTTGCTGAATCAGTTACACCAGTTCGTGTTTCTGTTGTATATGCACTTGAGATGGCAGACATGTTTTACGTCTATTTGTAGAGACGTTTCAGCCCTGTAGGCATGTTTTTACAACATTTTGAATTATAAAAATAAACTTTATTCATTTCTGTTTGTGTACTTATGGATTGAGCTTGAATTTAATAGCGATTATCGTTACATGCGTTTGTATATGTTTAGATAAATTGATAAATGAAACACTTTCATGTTGAAAAACATATCCTCTGCATAATTTAAGAAGGTGGACAAAACCTTCATTGTGGCCTTAGGACTGGTCAATCATATTTTTATTATTGCTGATTTCACTATGTAAGTAGATTTGAGAGCCAGTGTATGTTGATCTTTTCATTGTGTTTTACCCCATACCGAGAAATATAAGATTTGGTTTGTTTGGTGTTCAACGCCTCACTCAGCAATAGTCCAGCTATATATTGACGAAAGTCTGTAAATAAACAAGTCTGCACCAGACAATCGAGTGATCAAAAGCATGATCATCGATCCACGCAATTGGGAACCGATGGCATGTGTCAACCAAGTCAGCGAGCCCGACCTCCTAATCCTGTTAGTCGCCTCTTACGACAAGCATGGGTTGCTGAAGACCAATTCTAACCTGTATCTTCACGGGTCTAGAAATATAAGAAAATACAGACCAAACCAGTGGTTAAATCATGAGCAAATGTCCAAGCAATTTACCAAGTCAAATTAAGATCTTAAAACAATCAAGTGACAAAGTATGGATACAATATGTTTGTAGTCACAACAGAAGCTTTGTGTCGGTAAAACTGAAAGACATATATAAAAATATTAGCTATGCATCACGGACATGCTTTTCTAGGCTTTATCTGACGTACAGGTAGTTTGGTGAAGGTACTTAAGGGTTCTACTTCAAAGGTTAGAAAATCATCACCATCATCATGACAAGCAACTGGTCACAGAATCAATTTTACTTGCCATGACACCTTTGATTCATCTCCTTGAGGATAACTTACCAAAATTATTACCTATTCTATTACCTAAGGATTAAAACAACTAACAGGAGTGAGTGAGTGAGTGACTTGTTTTAACGCCACTTTTAGCACTATTCCAGCAATATAAAGATGTGGGACACCAGAAATGGGATTCACACATTGTACCCATGTGGGGAATCGAACACGGGTCTTTTGCGTAATGTGCAGACGCTTTAACCATTAGGCTATCCCATTGCCCCTACCATGAATGAAGTTTAGCTTGTTCAAAATATTAAATATTTTTAGTTTTGATAAATATTTGGTTTGTAAACCAAGCAAACATGAAAAGAATTCAAATTTGATTTCTTCAGCTATTTTATCTACACCCATAAAATATTGCAGTTTTTCTTCCAGTGTAACATAAAGACTACATTCATGAAAAGCCTGTGAAGTCGATAAGAGCCTGCATGAGAAATGACCTTGACCTGTAAATATCTCCGTCTTAATGGACCCAATACTCCTGGTTTCACCACTACAGGCCTCTTCCAGGACCGGAGAGTGTTTATGCAGATTAATGGCTGCAGACTGATGCGATGCACATGGCCAATCTGAAAGCTCACACTATTTCCATCAAGTGAATGCACGCAAACCTTTTTGTTTTGTAAACAGTTTGACAAATTGACAAATAGATATTTCTCTTATTACCAAGAAATATCCTTAGGTCAGTAAAAAGAGCGAGTAAGAGGACATGAATATGATACACGTTAAACATGGACAAATTATATCCTAAACAGTCCAGGGATATCTGTATACAAGTGTTGACTGATCTACATGGGTGTTACAACATCTTTTACACAGTTTATGAAATTACCAATCTTAGAGTTGCTAACTGAGTGAGAGTGGGTGAGTGAGTGAGTGAGTCAATAGTGCTTGGGGATTGGGTGGGTTTATGTGAGTGAGTGAGTGAGTGAGTGAGTGTAAAATGGGAAGAAGCAACAACCCTTGCTTGTAAGAGGCAACTAACAGGATCAGGTGGTCAGGATCGCTGTCTTGGTTGACACATCGTATCGTATAACTGTATGTCGATGCTCATGCTGTTGATCACTGGATTGTCTGGACCAGACTCGATTATTTACACTCACTGACTGAATTTGGTTTTACGCCGCTTTTAGCAATATTCCAGCAACATCACGGCGGGGGACACCAGAAATGGGCTTCACAAATTGTACCCATGTGGGGATTTGAACCCGGGTCTTCGGCGTGACGTGCCAACGCTTTAACCACTGGGCTACCCCACCGGCCCCGATTATTTACAGACCGCCGCCATATAACTGGAATACTACTGAGTGTGGCATTAAACAAACAAACAAACTGTATTATGAGGTGTATTCCTGTGTTTGTTATTATCAGCTTTTAAATGCAACTTAACAACAATGAAATACCAGCTGCAAGTAAAAAATGAACCGCCTTTACATCTTGAATTAATTCTATTCTGGACCAAAAACAATTGGGTAAAAAGAAACCCCACATAACAACGTGATATATTCTTTGCAAGTAACAAGCCTATCATTGACAAAGGGATCTCAATTCCATGCACATCTCAAATCTAAATTCCATTTCCTCCAGATAATTTCACGTTCAAATGTCAAATGAAAAAGAAGCTTTAAGAAATTCATTTATTAAACTTTCTCTACTTTTAAAGCGGTGATAGATCGAAAGAGAGAAAACCATCATACCCTGTGACCTCTCTGCATTTAACAGTCAGAAATAGATGAGATCTCTTAGAAGTTGACTTTTCCATGCTCTCTAAAGACGAGAGAACAATTACTATTGTTTGTCGTCATCCATGTGCCAACAACAGATGGGAGCTAAAACGCATTCCTGTGTGTGCTTAAAATCATTGGCAAACTGGCTTGTGGAATTGCTACCTTCTTAAAACGTAGCACTGTTTCTATATCAATAGAACTCTCCTGTCTCAAATGCTTCACAACAAATTGAGTGTTTAATTTAAACATCAATTCAATATTTTTGTACCTAAAATCAGACTGACTTGGTTGTATTACTTTGAATGGAGACGAATAATATGGAAAGTAATGTCACAAAGCTCACTGGATATTTACATCAGTGACCCTAATAAAGTTAGAACGGATTGAAAAATTCACAGGTGAACTACAAAACAAACTTTTAACCAATCCAAAAATATCAAGTTTCTCTTGAGAGGTCACTCCAACTGTAGAGCATGCTTAAGCTTACACAAGTAGCCTCAGAGATCATCATCATCATCATCATCATCATCATCAACATCATCATCATCAGCAGCAGCAGCACAATGTTTGTTCTTGCCATGCCCAGTGATATCAGATTGATCACTCTTCATACCTGATTATTTACAGACCGCTGCCATATAGCTGAAATATTGCTGAAAGCGGACATAGTGAGTGAGTGAGTTTAGTTTTACACCGCACTCAGCAATAGTCCAGCTATATGACAGCAGTCTGTAAATAATCGAGTCTGGACCAGACAATCCAGTGATCAACAGCATGAGCATCGATCTGTGCAATTGGGAATCGATGACATGTGTCAACCCAGTCAGCTAGCATGACCACCCGATCCCGTTAGTCGCCTCTTACGACAAGCATTGGTTACTGAAGATCACTCCTAACCCGGATCTTCACGGGTGAGTGCGGCCATAACCAACAAACAAACAAATCATACATTCGATTGATTACTTTCCAATCTATACATCCATTTGTCGGTGTTACAAAGTTAAAGTAGACAACTTTAAAGTCTGCACTCAGACAAGACGTTCCAGCATTGTTTCTATCACAGTAAACCTGACATTTGTTGGTGAATACAATATACATCCTTTGATATATTTCCTAATCTCTGTCAGTGATACTTAGAAATGCTTTTCAAGTAGGATCTTCCTGTTACCACTTACTGTCTATCATATTAAAGGTCATCAGTGAAACTATTGACGAATCTTTAGTTTCTGATGTTTGCATTAAGGCAGAGCGAGATGGTGAGCCTTCACGGAACTCCTCACTGACATACAAACCAGTGGTTGATGGTGTGAGCAACGGCTCAATCAATCATGGATTGATGACACACAACCAGCTTCTTTGAGAGGCGTTTTAGAAGTTGTATCGATGAAGGAAAACCAAGTTCTATGGATAGTCAACTTCTTTATTGCTGGTCACAGTCTGACGTTCGCTACTCACCATCACTTGTCATATCCAGTGACACAATGGCCTTGACCCCTTCTATGACAATGGCCTTGACCTCTTCTATACAATGGCCTTGACCTCTTCTATCACCTTCTATATGGAGACTGGTTGGAACTATCTGAAACAGATAACATTCCTATTAAAATTGAACATTTTTCACATACAGTCAAACAACTTTGTGTCGAAGTTGAAGAAGCCTACATAAATAGTTCAAATTACCTGAAGTTCGATACAAATGCAAAATGATGACTAAAGAAGGAATCAATCCATTTACTTCAAAACATCTGAACGTTCGACACAATTACAATTACTGCTGATTCCTATTCTGGGACTGATTTCCTACTAACCGTTTGTAACCTCAATGAACGCCCAAATTTCATTGGCAGGATATTTTCGACAGAGAAGTCGGGCATGACAGATCAAACATGTCCCCCATTGCACATGTCAAGAATATCAAGGGAAGCCAATGAAACCAGTGCCTGTGGGTATAAGACTCACAGAAGTTTGCCAGTAAGTATCAAATTTGATACTTTTTAATATGTTGCCCTGCAAGTATCTTCTGAGACAATCCATTTGAAGATCAATATCAGAAGCTTCAAAGGAAACATCTATGACTTCGCTATCTAATATGGCTGGAATTGTTACATCCTCGAGGTATAGACAGAGAGGAGATAAAGTCAATATGCTCAGGTTTCGTCATACAGCATTTAAACAAAACTCAGTTTGACCTCAAACATAAATAAATCATATTGCAAAAACAAGAAAGGTTTAAATATACTACAATGAATACAGATTAATATCCCATAAGCAGTTGTCATACAAACTGTCACAAGCACTAGGTGAGTGAGTGAGTGAGTGAGTGAGTGAGTGAGTGAGTGAAAGAGCTTAGTTTGACGAGTGAATGCTTTAACCACTAGGCTTCCCCATAGCCCCTTACAAGGGTTAAGGGTTTGTAGAACGAAAGCAATAGAAAAGAGAACGCAACCAAATTATGAATACACAATGCAATGTAGCAATTTAGAAACTGCTAAAATGTTACAAATGTTACATTTGGGATTACACTTTCTCCGTAAAGTACAGATTCTAGTATTATGTTAGGTTGAGTCCCATCTGGGATTCAAACCCATACCCTCAAAGTAGGAGATTCCCAAAGTAATCCCAAATATAACATTTGTTACACCACTAAATAAACTTTCTAGAAAGGTAAAGCATTAACTAACGTTAACTAGTTTTCCACATTTCAGACAGGAATTTGATAACCAATTCAATGAAGATGGTTGGTTTAGATAAGGCTCCTCCTCACTAGCAGATGCCCTGCCACAAATCTGTGTACTGTTGTCCTCACTAGCAGATGCCCTGCTACAAATCTGTGTACTGTTGCCCTCACTAGCAGATACTGACTGACTGACTGAGTTTGGTTTTACGCCGCTTTTAGCAATATTCCAGCAACATCACGGCCGGGGACACCAGAAATGGGCTTCACACATTGTGCCCATGTGGGGATTTGAACCCGGGTCTTCGGCGTGACGAGCCAACGCTTTAACCATTAGGCTACCCCACCGCCCCCACTAGCAGATACCCTGCCACAAATCTGTGTACTGTTGCCCTCACTAGCAGATGCCCTGCCACAAATCTGTGTACTGTTGCCCTCACTAGCAGATACCCTGCCACAAATCTGTGTACTGTTGCAAGTATCTAAAGCTAAAAAAACTCCACAAAGTGTGTTTGCTGTTTAATGTTAATCTTTTGGTACAAGTGCAGTAAATAAAGCAGCTTTGCAGATTTTAATACTTAAGGGTATGCTTAATCACAAAAAGCTTGACTGAAATCAAATTTGAAAAAACAGAAGCGAGGATGTTAAAAAGTGAAAGGCTAAATCTTCTGAAAGAAATCTGCCACTGGGTTTAAAACTGGTTCTTGCTTAGTGGCATTTTCACAAGTTCAATGATTGGGCAGGTGCCGAGTCTGCCCACTTTCACCTCGGGACTTTGTAATCACATTACAAGAGTTTTCTGTCTGCTCATCAGTCGGATTACCACATCCACAACTTACGCCAAGAATTAGGAACACGATAGAAGATGGCTTCAATTTTCTTCTCAAGAGATTAATCCCTGACAGGCATCCATTGTGTGGAACAGGACCAATAATTATTTGTGATGAGTGAGTGAGTGAATGAGTTGAAGTTTTACGTCACATTGGCATTGTTTCGCGATGGCGATGAGACCAAATCTGCACATATATACATTTTAATTACTACGTTTAAATGAGTTTCTTAAAATACATGCTTCTTCATTACACTATTATTCACAAAGACAAAATGTCATAGCACCAAATTTAAAACATGTTGATGGAATTCAAGGGTCACCTAAGCAGGTGATTAATAGGGTACCAAAAGAAGATATTAGTAACTGAGTTACAGATGTGAAAGTCAAATTCAAATCAAAGGTCGTTTCATATTACAACAATAATGGTAATGTTATTTTTGTAGATTATTTTAGAAGAAATAGCCAATCTGTTAGATTTCTTATAACTGATGTTTGAGTTGCAACTGAACCCTTTCTGATTCTGGAGTGTCGTCAATCAGAGCAGCTGCTTGCCATGGCGTGGAGTCATAAACATCATTGTAAATACTCAATAGCAAAATATAATGGATGCTACCTTATAAGCATCACTAGATACATTTGATAGTAGCAAGACGCTGTAACTTACTGAGACTATGCAATTCACCTGATGATAAGCATGCATGACTTGCCCGCTAGTAGTTTGTTTGGGAAGTGTACTGTACACAGCCTTTCTAGAAATCATACCTAGCAAAACTGATATTCACAACAGAATAATAATCACAAAATTATTGTACTTGCCAATGCAAACAAAAAGGTACGAGTGATTACGATCAACAAAAAATCAGCTTGTTTAGGCCTAATTGGTAATACATATGGGCTGTGATGTACTCGTTCATGACATCACAGAGCATTCTATTATGTCTGCAGCACTGGCTCGGAGCTTGCTGAGAATTCCCTGCAGGCTGAGCAAGTGTGACCTATCTACCATATTCACTACAAGCATCCAGCATACTTCCTTGGAAGCCAAGGTCAAGGCAGCAGAGCTCGGTAGACATGGAAAGACAATCTCAACTATACAGGTGGTTAGAGTCTTTGCCATTCCATGCTCCACCCCCTGCACAATTCCTGCCCCCCACGGTCTCCATCAGGATGCTAATTTCCTGACTACAGATGATCTTTCTCATGAGATCTTTGATTTGACCGCAACATACGTGATATTAATGGTTGACCTGTTCTTGAAATTGGATGTAGAGTTTTTGTGTCTCTGTTACTGCAGCAGACTTATCAGACTAAAACCAGGGCTGTGTTATCTTGTGACGTGTGGTATTTTTGGAATAATAGAACTTTGTCTTTTGCCAAGTAATCTTTAATATTTCCAGTATGAAATAGTGTTTTTGACAAAACATTCTTTGTAACTTGGTTTGAGGTTTCTTTGAAGATGATTACACAATTACAGTTCTGTGTTGTTTTTTTGACAGGTTAACCTATATCTAAACAATATTTCATCAAGGTTAGACTCTGCAGTGACATTTCTTAAAGACCTGGGCCTAGATTTTCGGAGCTCTCTTAGCACTGAGATAGTCATTAACATTAACTTACAACTATCTAAGAGCTAAGAGAGCTTGAAAAATCTAGGCCCTGTTAATTTGGGTTTTTATATAGATGGAGAGGAGCAGAAAAATGTTCTTTTCTGACACTCTGAAACCAAGTGAGTGATATGCTGCTTTTAGCAATACTCCAGCAATATCACAGCAGGGGACACTCGAAATGGGCTTCACACATTGTACCCATGTAGGGATTTGAACCTGGGTCTTCAGTGTGACGAGTGAACACTTTAACCACTAGGCTACCCCACCACCCGAAACCAAAACCTGCCTGTTATTTTCCCATATTTTGAGTCATGATCTCAGGGATCGATTTAAGAGATGTTAAACTACTTGCACCAGGTGCAACCTAAGATAAAGACCTAGTTGCACCAGCCAAATTCCAGGTGCACTGCTTTTATTGCAATGTACATGTAATGAAAGATATATGGTAAATTTAATTAGATTTCTATTCCGAAGTTTACCCACTCAAAAATTGACATGCAACTGGTGCAAGTTAGACTAATAACTAGGTTGCACTTTGTAATTATGGGTTGCACCAGTGAGAGTAACAAAGCACTAAATCGAGCCCTGGATCTGTATTAGAAACAACAACACTTATAGTTCATCATTACATATCCGAACATGGTTTATCTGAACAGTCTTTTGTCTTAATCTCTTTGATTTTAAGAACAATCTATTACATTTGAATGGAAATTAGTTCTGATGAAGCACAAACACTGCACTAAAATGTTTCTTGTAAAATTATTAAATTGTTAATGCATACATAACTCGAAAGTTGTGCTTTTGTTAACAACAAATATTTTTCTTCACAAACAATAAAGACCAAGTGTAGCAGGGGGTAGTGAGTGAGTTGCTTTTAGCAATATTCCAGCAATATCACAGCCGGGGACACCAGAATATTGAGGACGAAGACTGTGAAAATATTTGTACGAGCAAATAACAGATGTCCAGTGTTAAGTACATTAGATAGTGGTTGAAAAACATAAAATCAGCAATAACCTTCTTTTCCAATTATCTCAGATCATAAACTTGGATAATAATCCTCCATAGATTATTTCAAGTAAGTCTACAAGTTGTGGAGCTTAACAGGTGAAGTGGAACACTCCAAGCTGTAGTGTTGGACTGTTAGGGTTATCATAGGTTTACACACGATTACAAACACAATACTCACACATTAGAGAAGTGAAACACTCTGTGAGGAGCTAGACTGTAGACTAATACACTGTACATCATCAGAGGTGAGGTGAGGTGAAATTGGGTTTAACGTCGTGCTTGAGAATATTTCGCTCATATGACGATGTGCATGCGTGTGTATGGGTATGTGCGGCTGCTTGTACTAGCCCAGGCTTAAGCTGGTTTTATAGTGCTAGCCCACTGAGATACCACGCTGCAGTGAAGCATGAATACCACACTCAGACACATTATACTGACTCCGAGCCGATCAGTTCTTGTTGTACCCATTAATGCCGAGTGCCAGGCAGGGACCAACAAGTACCATATTTTAACGTCTTTTGGTATGATGCGGTCGGGGATCGAACCCGCTCTCCGTTCGGATGCTCTAACCACTACACCACGGAGGCGGTATGTACATCATCAGAGGAACCTTATGAATGAGGGAGTTGAAAGTTCTAGTCACGTATGGCAATATCTCAGCCATATTGTGACTAAGGCAAGGTGTACATTGATAATAACAAACCATTGAAAATACAATCTGATCGCAAGCAGCTGTAAAACAACTGGTATATCACAGAATTAAAACGAGCATGTAAGTTAATATTATATCACTATTTAGTCACTTGTATCATGTTTTGTCATTGCAGGGGTTTCTGGGCTGGGGTGGGTGATAGTCGTTTTATTTACATTCGCATCATGTAAAGTGATTTTGCTTTGTTCATCAGGGTTCGAAGTTACAGCAAGTAAAGACTTCTGCTGTACTTCATTTATCAATTCATTATCACTGGCCAAATGAGACATTGTCTTGTTTTAGATTGGACTTATTTTGTGATAGTTTCAGGGAAATTTTGTTTCACAATCTAATTGTGTGATGTGTGGTGAGTGAGTGAGTGAGTGAGTGAGTGAGTGAGTGAGTGAGTGAGTGAGTGACATTCACTCACTCATACAAGCTGTAAATAACCTACCAAATAGACTTCTTAGTACAGGAAACAAATACCTACAAGCAATATGTTTTCAAAACATCACCATTACCCTTCCTGCTTCAACATCAAAGACCTAACTAATGCTGTGCTATTGTTCCCTGTTTAGACGATACTTTCCAGCTATGTAGTCATATTATACAGTCGACAGCCTACTTCCTCCATACGAACAGTAAAAATTCACTTCACCATATAAGGTAATATTTGGAGCTCTCACAAAGAACACAAACAGTGGTGGGAGTAATTCATAGCTTAACTCATAGAAATAACAGCAAAAGGGTCATTTGATCTGATCTAGCATGAAGAACTGATTATCAATCATTTGACGTATTGCTGGACCGCATTCGTGAGTTATTCTGTGTATACACAGAGACTGGTACAGACATGGAACCACATCTTGGGGTACAAGACACAATAAGCTGTATGCTGAACAACTAGGGAGTGAGTTTAGTTTTACGCCGCTTTTAGCAATATTCCAGCAATATCATGCATTGGACACCAGAAATGGGCTTCACACATTGTACCCTGAGGGGAATCAAACCCGGATGTGACAAACGAACACTTTAACCACTAGGCTACCCCACTGACCAATCCTGGACAATTAATTTTATACCCCTGTAAGAAAAGAAAGGACACCGATGTCAGAACATTTTAACAGAATGGTGCCTGATTACATTCAGGGTTGTAGGGTAGCCTAGTGGTTAAAGCGTTTGCTCGTCACACTGAAGACCTGGGTTCAATTCCCCACATGGGTACAATGTGTGAAGCCCATATCTGGTGTTCCTCGCCATGATATTGCTGGAATATTGCTAAAAGCAGCAGACATATAAACTCACTCACAGATTATGTTTCAGTGAGCATCCCTTACAACAGAAGAAATTCTTTAGAATTGAAACCCATTCAAGCAAGGGCATCATCTTACACAAAATATTTCCTAAATATTACTGTAGAACTTTGGAACTCTTTACCAGAAGATATTAAGTAAGTGAGCGGGTATGGTTTTACGATGCTTTTACCAATATTCCAGTAATATTACACAGTGGACACCAGAAATGGACTTCACACATTGCACCCATTCAGGGAATCAAACCCAGGTCTTCGACATGACGAGCGAAAAGCTTTAACCACTAGGCTACCCCACCACCCCAAGAAGATATTAAATCAGTACAATTCTTAAGAAGCTTCACAGACAAGATATACCCCTGAATTCAAACTGTATTAACATCATCGCAAGCTCAAATGTGAATACAGTTTGGCCCTCGTTATGAACATTCATACTTTAATAACCCCACACAAAGTAAGAGTTAATGGCATGATTTTTATATCGCCATTTTATACCTCAAAGGATGTATCACCTGATACTTGTAACTTCCGTTTCCACAAGCTGACACACATACAACCATCTTAATTGCGCCAGAAAAAAAGAGAGATGATGTGGGCATATGTTTGCTCAAGTAACATTTATTGTAGATTGTTCACAACAGATAGATGTAAATATCATCATTAGATAAACATGTCTGACAAAAACCACAATGACGGTGTGTAATAATACGTGGCACAGGATGACAAAATGGCCGACATGTTAGACAGGACAAGGGTGATTTCTGAAGTTGCCAATAAACCTTTCATAATAAGGTATTTGGGAGCATTAATCAATTAGCCAATCACTGAAAGCTGATTATAAAATGTGTCCTACAGACACTGAAGTAGATATATACATTACTGTAGAAAGTGCCTGTCAGTCCAGATATTGATTGTCAATAGTTGTGGATTTATTACTCCGCTATTATTGTTACTCCGCTTTTAGCAATATTCCAGCAATATTCCAGCAACATCACGGCGGGGGACACCAGAAATGGGCTTCACATATTGTACCCATGTGGGGAATCGAACCCGGGCCTTCAGCGTGACGAGCGGACGCTTTCACCACTAGGCTACCCCACCGCCCATTGTCCACAAAGAGTAGTGAGGATATTACTTCATACAAATGCAGACAATTACTCTGACTATTAGAACATGTAAAAATGTGACCCACAGTGTGAGTGAGTGAGATTAGGTGAGCAAGAACAGGTGAGTGGGTGCGTGAGTGAGAACAGGTGAGCAAGAACAGGTGAGTGGGTGAGTGAATGAGTAACTGAGAACAGGTGTGTGGGTGGGTGAGTGAGTGTGAAAACAGGTGAGTGGGTGTGAGGGTGAGAGTGAGTGAGTGAATGAGTGAATGAGTGAATGAATGAATACCTGAAAACAGGTGAGTGAGTGAGTGAGGTATTACACTGCAATAGGTATG